ATTTTGGAAGAGGCACTCTTACTCATCATAACTATATACTTAGTTACTTTATTTAATACCCAGGAGCAGAGAAGAAGATTTTCAAAGAATTAATGCATTTTCACTATATAATCAATAGAGCCCCGCCCTTACACCAGAACCGCTGCCCCTGGGGCCATGAATTTCACAATTTTGGAAGAGGCACTCTTACTCATCATAACTATATACTTAGTTACTTTATTTAATACCCAGGAGCAGAGAAGAAGATTTTCAAAGAAATAATGCACTTTCACTATATGATCTATATAGCCCCGCCCTAGCACCAGAACCCCTGACCCTGGGGCCATGAATTTCAAAATTTTGGTTGAGAACTCAATGCTCATTACAATCATGCCAACAGTTTGACTGCTTGATGTCCAGGAGTAAAGAAAAAGATTTTTAAAGATTGCATTAATTTTGGTGATTTTAGCCCCACCCCTCAGGCCCCAAGGGGGCAGGGACCATGAAATTCACAATTTTTGTTCCCCTTCACCCATAGATGCTATATGCCAAATTTGGTTGAAATTGGTTGAGCGGTTTCAGAGAAGAAGCTAAAAATGTTCAAATGTTAACGCACATCGCACGCCGACGGACAAAAACAGATAGCAATAGGTCACCTGAGTGACTCAGGTGACCTAAAAACGCACATTTTATTGAAATAAACAGAAGATAAGGAAATTAAATATAAGCTACAAGTTTGGACTTGCATGTACTTGGCCATCTACACGTAAGTGGATATGTGTAGAAATTCATCAATAACAAAACTAATGATGTAATGAACAGATTTCCAGGGGGGAATCCCCTGCTACACGTACATGTATGCATACACATTGGTTTGCTAAACCTCTTTAATTTTTATGAAAACAGGTTTTTACCAACTTCAAGTTATATCTTTTATGTTTCAGTGCCACATGAAATGCAGGTAATTGATAAGAGGTTGATAAGAACAAGAGGCCCATGGGCCACATCGCTCACCTGAGCACACTGGCTAGACTAAGGCACAAATCAAATCAGTAATGAAGGGGGGGGGGGGGGGGGGCTTGAATTTTAAACTACCTGATGATGCTTTCATGTCAATATAACAAATGAATTTGTTGTACTTGAGAAGATTTTAAAAGAATTTTCCCATTTATTCATTTGTAAAAATTTGATCCCCCATTGTAGCTCCTCCCTATCTCAGGGGTCATCATTTGAACAAACTTGAATCTACATTACCCGAGGATGCTTCCATATCAATAAGACTAACATAGCTTTTCTGTTCTTGAGAAGAAATTTTTTTCTATATGTTCTTATGTAAAACTTTCGATTCCCCATTGGGCCCCACCCTACCCCCGGGGGTCATCATTTGAACAAAATTGAATCTACACTACCTGAGGATGCTTCCATATAAATTTGACTCCTTATGGCTTTGCTGTTCTTGAGAAGAAATTTTTCCTATATATTTCTATGTAAAACTTTGATCCTCCATTGTGGCCCCGCCCTACCCCCGGGAGCCATGAATTGAACAAAATTGAATCTACACTTCCTGAGGATTCTTCCATATAAATATGACTCTTCATGGCTTTACTGTTCTTGAAAAGAAGATTTTTAAAGATTTTTCCTATATATTTCTATGTAAAACTTTGATCCTCCATTGTGGCCCTACCCTACCCCCGGGGGTCATGATTTGAACAAACTTGAATCTACACTTCCTGAGGATGCTTCCATATAAATATGACTCTTCATGGCTTTGCTGTTCTTGAGAAGAAGATTTTTAAAGATTTTTCTCTATATATTTCTATGTAAAACTTTGATCCTCCATTGTGGCCCCGCCCTACCCCCGGGGGTCATGATTTGAACAAAATTGAATCTACACTTCCTGAGGATGCTTCCCTATACATGTAAATATGACTCTTCATGGCTTTGCTGTTCTTGAAAAGAAGATTTTTAAAGATTTTTCCTATATATTTCTATGTAAAACTTTGATCCTCCATTGTGGCCCCGCCCTACCCCCGGGGGTCATTATTTGAACTAACTTGAATCTACACTACCTGAGGATTCTTACATATAAATATGACTCCTCATGGCTTTACTGTTCTTGAGAAGAAGATTTTTAAAGATTTTTCCTATATATTTCTATGTAAAATTTTGATCCTCCATTGTGGCCCCGCCCTACCCCCGGGGGTCATGATTTGAACAAAATTAAATCTACACTTCCTGAGGATGCTTCCATGTAAATATGACTCTTCATGGCTTTGCTGTTCTTGAGAAGAAGATTTTTAAAGATTTTTCCTATATATTTCTATGTAAAATTTTGATCCTCCTTTGTGACCCCGCCCTACCCCCGGGGATCATGATTTGAACAAAATTGAATCTTCACTACCTGGGGATGCTTCCCTATAAATATGACTCTTCATGGCTTTACTGTTCTTGAGAAGAAGATTTTTAAAGATTTTTCCTATATATTTCTATGTAAAACTTTGATCCTCCATTGTGGCCCCGCCCTACCCCCGGGGGTCATGATTTGAACAAAATTGAATCTACACTTCCTGAGGATTCTTCCATATAAATATGACTCTTCATGGCTTTACTGTTCTTGAGAAGAAGATTTTTAAAGATTTTTCCTATATATTTCTATGTAAAACTTTGATCCTCCATTGTGGCCCCGCCCTACCCCCGGGGGTCATGATTTGAACAAACTTGAATCTACACTACCTCGGGATGCTTCCCTATAAATATGACTCTTCATGGCTTTACTGTTCTTGAGAAGAAGATTTTTAAAGATTTTTCCTATATATTTCTATGTAAAACTTTGATCCTCCATTGTGGCCCCGCCCTACCCCCGGGGGTCATGATTTGAACAAAATTGAATCTACACTTCCTGAGGATGCTTCCCTATAAATATGACTCTTCATGGCTTTACTGTTCTTGAGAAGAAGATTTTTAAAGATTTTTCCTATATATTTCTATGTAAAACTTTGATCCTCCATTGTGGCCCCGCCCTACCCCCGGGGGTCATGATTTGAACAAACTTGAATCTACACTACCTGGGGATGCCATATAAATATGACTCTTCATGGCTTTGCTGTTCTTGAGAAGAAGATTTTTAAAGATTTTTCCTATATATTTCTATGTAAAACTTTGATCCTCCATTGTGGCCCCGCCCTACCCCCGGGGGTCATGATTTGAACAAACTTGAATCTACACTACCTGGGGATTCTTCCCTATAAATATGACTCTTCATGGCTTTACTGTTCTTGAGAAGAAGATTTTTAAAGATTTTTCCTATATATTTCTATGTAAAACTTTGATCCTCCATTGTGGCCCCGGCCTACCCCCGGGGGTCATGATTTGAACAAAATTGAATCTACACTTCCTGAGGATGCTTCCCTATAAATATGACTCTTCATGGCTTTACTGTTCTTGAGAAGAAGATTTTTAAAGATTTTTCCTATATATTTCTATGTAAAACTTTGATCCTCCATTGTGGCCCCGCCCTACCCCCGGGGGTCATGATTTGAACAAACTTGAATCTACACTACCTGGGGATGCCATATAAATATGACTCTTCATGGCTTTACTGTTCTTGAGAAGAAGATTTTTAAAGATTTTTCCTATATATTTCTATGTAAAACTTTGATCCTCCATTGTGGCCCCGCCCTACCCCCGGGGGTCATGATTTGAACAAACTTGAATCTACACTACCTGGGGATGCTTCCATATGAGTTTCATCTTTCCTGGCCCTGTGGTTCTTGAGAAGAAGATTTTTTAAAGATGCTATTCATTTTTCACTAATTCTTAATTATCTCCCCTTGAAAGAGGGCGTGGCCCTTCATTTTAACAAACTTGAATCCCCTTCACCCAAGGATGCTTTGTGGCAAGTTTGGTTGAAATTGGCCCAGTGGTTCTGGAGAAGAAGTCGAAAATGTGAAAAGTTTACAGACAGACGGACTACAGACAAAATGTGATCAGAAAAGCTCACTTGAGCTTTCAGCTCAGGTGAGCTAAAAACAGTTGTGAAATGTTTATATTTAAATTATTGTATCTATTCAATTTACTTATTTATAATCTTACCAAATCATTTCACATCTTACCCCAATTTTATCCAAAAATTTCAGAGTGCTGGCATAAAAAAGACAGCTTGGAACATTCAGAGTGTTGTCTCTCTTTGGCTTTGTATCCATGGAAATCTCCAAATTTAGGTTTTGAGATCTGAAGGCTCGGAATGAGTCATGCTCCTAAAAGGAGTTTTTTTTAATTAAAAAAAAAACCACTATAAATTGATGAGGTGTACATGTACCCAATTTCAGCCATAACTTCAATGGGAGAAATGTATCATTTAAAGTACAGTGTATTAATTCATAGCAATTAACAACACTGATAAAGCTAAATAACAAGGATATGAAATTATCTAATTTAATTTGAAATGAAAGCTTCCACTCTTATTTAGATCTGGGGTTTTAATTTGAAATGGAGGCTTCTACACTTCTTTAGAGTTGGGGTTTTATTTTGAAATGAAGGCTTTTACAGTTCTTTAGAGTTGGGGTTTACCTCCAGTGAGTACTCTGGCACTTTATCAGGAGCACATGGCATCACAGAGTGATGATCATTGGCATCACCCAGACAAATCCAACCCAACTTCACACTGAAACAAATTACAATGTAAAGAAAACTAATACTCAGAAATCAAGTGAGAATTAATTAAAAGAGAATTTTCAGTATTTTCCAATAAATAACAATTCTGGCAAAGTCATCCAAGGCCGGATCAATAATCTTGATCTACTGACCTAATGACTTTCTTCACATTTAATACTTTGTTGTGAAAGGTAATCACAAGTTATTGTATCAGATAAAACTGCTGGCAGATAAAATAAGTCATGACTAATGACAGCAACAGAATATAATATCTATTTTGTTGTGGGTCTCTAATAACTAGATTTCTAAGGAACACTCATTGACTGCTTTAGATTGTTTGATAATATTCTAACTTACAATGCAAATACATGTACTTTGTTGTAAGCAACATTTGTATCAGATATGAGCTACCAATGCATCTTTGTAAAATAATTTATAATTTTTTGTGCCTTTGAAACTTGAAAATAGCAAGATACGATCTTTGATCTAGGTCAAGGCAGACTGTGAGATGATAAGCTATCTTTTTGTCACAACATGGCCTAGGTGACCTTGTCAAATAACCTTTGAGCAAGATTATTCAAATAACATCTTCTTATGAGAGCTTTTAATGTGCCTGAACAAAGGTACTGTAGATCACTATATTTTTGCAACACCTTATTTTCGCCAGATAGCTATTTGGTATTTATTAGCAAGACAAAATTTTTACGAGACAAGCTTTTTGTTGTATATACCCGGTAATCCTTAACAATACAAATATATAAAAGAATAAAATTTTCGTGAGCAGACAGACTTGCATAATTACACAAAAATAAAATTCTCGTGAATAAAAAGTGATTTACAGTATGGAACACAGATGTAATACAATTTTCCAATTGAAAATGCACTGTCAAAGTTATATAGTATCATGAGCAATTGAGCATCTTTCTGTAGCTGTCGGCTTCTAATGTTTCTGAATCACACAAAAATAAGTTGGACAGGAATTATATATCTTTTAAAAAACAATGACCTTTAATTTGTCCAAATGACCTTGGTTGAAGGTCACCTTCCCATAAAAAATTAAACCTTGTGCTTAAAATGAGATGCAAATGTTTCTCTGCTCAAGTCAAGGTCCTTGAACTAAAAAAGTCAAGTTCATGACACAAATTTAGATCATACACAATCTTTCCATCAAATAATTCTGATATTCTGATGACAAAAAGGATCAAAGATTGAACATTGGTTAAGTTTGCACCTTGAGAGTAGTTAACACTGCTGCTTAAGACAGCTGTTTGCCTCAATCAGGTCAGGTTACCACATGGGTGAGGCCTGGGGTCATCATTTATGTTGGGTAAATAACTGTAGAATACATCAAACCACATGACTTACCACAGACTAAGGTTTGGAAGATGAAGAAGTTTACAATCATCATACTTAGAAGCTGTTCTTGCGTAGATGTCCAAGTCACCTTTTAATCTGAACTTTGCTGTAATTGTAATAAAGGTAGACAAAGTTTTATTATTCTTAAAAGAGATACATGTATTACTCTTTAAAAAAATTCTACAAAAATAACACTTTGTTTCATATATTCAAATGTCTCCTTATTCTTTTTTTTTTTTTTTTTTTAAATCAAAACACATTTCCAGAAGATTTGCTTTGGCTGCAGTTTGTATTACGCAGAAGGCTACTTTTTTGGCCATTGTAAATATCAATGGTCCAGTGTAGCACAATGCTCTTGCATTGCATGGCTCTCTTTTTCGCTTCATCTGACAAATGAATAGATCTATGCAATAAACCCTTTCCTGGGGCGCAATCCTACATTACAATGGTTTCTGTAAAACTGAGCTAAACAATAATTTAAGAAAAGTGAGATCAAGGTCAAAAATTGTTGAACAGATGCAGTAAAATAGCTTACTTCAATATGTATCAGCATATAAGTTTGATATCACTATCATGAATGGTTTCTATACAACTGAGCTTAACACTAATTTAAGAAAAGTGAGGTCAAGGTCAATGGAAATGTCAAGGTCAAAAATTGTTGATACAGTCAAAAAGCTCTCATCAGTATGTATCAGCATATGAAGTTTGATAAAAATATCTTGAATAGTTTCTTTGAAACTGAGCTTAGACAATCAGATAACCAGACACACTTTGATCAGAACACTCTTTTAATTAAGCCTTGGATTTAAATGAGCTATAAAGTGAACTTTGTACCATTGGTCCAATCCAGAATGAGGTTAGTCCAGGACCAGTCCATCAGTTCTGTGGTGTTGTATGGATCAAATGAGGCATGATAAAGCCAGCTCATCTGTTCTACAGACATGGTTAGTCGACCATGCAGGAGGAGGCGGATCTTGTCCCACCAGGGTAGGGGTCGACTGGGGTCAACAGAGGGCTTGTTAACCAGATCCATGGACAGGTTATATTGAGCCATAGCTGGTTCCCAGCAAGCACCATAAGCCATTATCCAAGACTGTACATCTAAAAAGAATCACAAATTCTGTAGTTGAAGTTTTAATATGAAAATAAACATAATAAAGCTTTTAATTATTTGGAAAATAAAATTCATGTCCATTATATCTGCATGCCTCATGTGGGACAAAATTTGAGACGAAATGTTGTTGTAGATAACACAAATAAAGGCAACAGTTATGGTATTCTCCCTTTTAAGTGCCCCTGTGCTAAAAAACTGCAAAAAGGGGCGGTTACTTTACAGTCATGTTGAAATTAAATGATTGAAACTAAATGAACCAACTGTGTCAAAACTTAATTCAAATTTATACCGTTACCCTATCCATTAAATGATTTGTGGGAAATATAAATTGTTCATGATTTTGTCAATCACTCTTTCTCTGCTCAAACAGATCACTGGCATGGTCAATTTTATCAAACATATCCATTTTCAATGGATTTTTATGTAGATCTGATGGAATTGGCAAACTGTGTTGAGATGAAAAGTTAATAAAGAGGAACCTTTATTCTCATACAATCAGAAAATATTCCAGGGGGTGCTTATATGGGTAGGGGTGCTTAATAGGGAGAATACGGTATACGTTATAGAGCTATTTCTCTTTATAAGGGCAAATCCACCTACTAGCTATCTATCTCTTAAATTTCTATTGTCCCGTCCTGTGTTTCTAATGCAATATGACTACTTCACAAAAATATTTAGACTGAAGTACACATTTGTCATTTGAAAAAGAACTGCTCTAAAAAAGTACCTACTGGAATACTAAAAATGAGCACATTCTCCCTGATATCCCCCTAGCTGAGTTACAAGTCTGACTAATTTTATATTCTTAAAAACCAATATTAAAAAAATCTCAACACTTCTCCGAGACTTAAAGCCCAAAATGATATGAAGAGGATGAGCATATACTGTAGATTGGCAAATAATCACGATGGTTTTAATTTCACTATATTTGCGATTAATCATTTTTCTGCAAAATCAAATCCATAGTGAATGTTATCATTTGTTTTTAAAAACGTTTAAATGCTTATACGAAATTTTAATTAGTTTCTTGCAGCGTGAAATTAAAACAATAGCGATTGGTACTTTTAGAGAAATCGTGAAATTTTAACACCGTGGAATTAAAATGACATACAGTACTCACCACAGCTGAAGTTATGGTAGAATTTGAGAGCAGTACTCATCACAGCTGAAGTCATGGTAGAATTTGAGAGCAGTACTCACCACAGATGAAGTCACGGTAGAATTTGAGAGCAGTACTCACCACAGCTGAAGTCACGGTAGAATTTGAGAGCAGTACTCACCACAGCTGAAGTCATGGTAGAATTTGAGAGCAGGTAGGTTTCTTTCCACGGCCATATCTCCCCATGGCCCTCCCACTGACACGGTACAGGATCTCTTAGCTGAAATCAAAACACCCTTATCATTGTCATATTTCAAATATAAGGCTTCCTAACAACACATTTCATGACTTCTGAACTCTTAGCTATAAATTCCAAAAATCAAAGTGTAGATTTTCGCAATAAACATTAATCAAACTGAACAAGAGGCTCATGGGCCACAACACTCACATGTCAATTTGGTCCTGCTGTTCTTCATCAGAAGAATTTTTATTTTAATAATCTCCCTCTCTAAGGTTATGAAGAAAATTGACTCCATATTGCCCACAGTTAGGTTTTGCTAACTCATATGATTTAGTGTGGCCTTGCCACTCTTGAAAAGATTTCATCCTATATATACTCCCTTGTAAAACTCTGACCCCTATTGTAGCCTCAACCCCGAGGGCCCTGATCTGAACAGACTTGAATCTAAGCTACCTGATGATGTTTGCATATCAATATGACTAATTATGACTTTGCTGTTCATTAAAGAAAGATTTTTAAAGATTTTTCCTACATATAGTAAATCTTTGTTATAAAGAAATTGCTTAGAGGGAAATCTCATAAGGAATTTTTAGGAATCCCATAGGAGACCTTTTACTATATTTCTTATATTCATAAAATCTCGGTTATGTAGAAGCAAAACCTGAGGTCTGCGTGAGTTCTTAATACCAAGTATTACTGTATTCCTATGTAAACTTCTCCTATTGTGGCCCCATCCTACCCATGTTGCCATGATTTGAACAAACTTGAATCTACACTACCTGAGGATGCTTCAATATCAATATGACTAATTATAACTTTCCTGTTTTTTTTTTTGGGGGGGGGGGGGGATTTTTAAAAATTGTTTTCTATATATATTCCTTATGTAAAACATTGATTACCTATTGTGGCCCCATCCTACCCCCTTGACTTGATTAAACTTGAATATACATTATCTGGAATTGATTATATTAATATGACTAATCATGGCTTTTCTGTTCTTGAGAAGAATTTTTTTCTTATATGTTCTTATGTAAAACATTGCTAATTTTGGCCCCACCCTACCTCCAGGGGTCATGATTTTAACAAACTTGAATGTACACATGTAATGATGCTTTCACAAAAGTTCATCTTTTCTGACCCAGTGGTTCTTGAGAAGAAGATTTTAAGACTTTCACTAATTCTTAATTATCTCCCCTTGAAAGAAGGCATGGCCCTTCATTTGAACAGATTTGAATTCCCTTCACCCAAGGGATGCTTTGTAAAAGTTAAGTGAAATTGGTCCAGTGGTTCCGAAGAAAAAATTGAAAATTTCAACCAGAAGTCTCTGATGAGACTGTAGCTCTACTGGTCTGTTTGTATAACAAAAGAAAAGTAGCACTTGGATTTGAAACATTGCAACATGCAACAATAAATAGAATTATGTATCTTAATGTAGTCTACTTTTGTGACAAGTTATTGAAATCAAATGAAAACTAGGAGTAGTAGCGTTTTGAAAGTATTTCACGGAAATTTCTATGTTTAGTACCGGTAACCATGACAACACCATTCACCCAAATAAAAAAAAACAGAAATACATATTATGTATCGTAGTGTATTCTAACTGTGTGCCAAATTAGATTGAAATCAGACCAAAATTGTAGGAGGAGTAACGTTTTAAAGGAATTTCACAGACATTTCTATTTTAAGTAACCATGGCAACACTGTTCATCGAATTCAAAAAAATGCAATAAATTATGTATCTTAGTATAGTCTTCTGGTATGCCTAATTATATTAGAAGCAGACTAAAACTGTAGCAGGAGTAGTGTTTAAAAGGAATTTCACAGAAATTCCTATTTTTAGTAACCATGGCAACACCGTCCATCGAAATCAAAAACCGATGCACTAAATTATGTATCTTAGTGTAGTCTACTTGTGTGCCAAGTTATATTGAAATCGGACCAAAACTGTAGGAGGAGTAGCGTTTTAAAGGAATTTCACAGAAATTTCTATTTTTAGTAACCATGGCAACACCGTCTGTCGAAATCAAAAACCGATGCACTAAATTATGTATCTTAGTGTAGTCTACTTGTGTGCCAAGTTATATTGAAATCGGACCAAAACTGTAGGAGGAGTAGCGTTTTAAAGGAATTTCACAGAAATTTCTATTTTTAGTAACCATGGCAACACCGTCCGTCGAAATCAAAAACCGATGCACTAAATTATGTATCTTAGTGTAGTCTACTTGTGTGCCAAGTTATATTGAATTTGGACCAAAACTGTAGGAGGAGTAGCGTTTTAAAGAAATTTCACAGAAATTTCTATTTTTAGTAACCATGGCAACACCGTCCATTGAAATCAAAAACCGATGCACTAAATTATGTATCTTAGTGTAGTCTACTTGTGTGCCAAGTTATATTGAATTCGGACCAAAACTGTAGGAGGAGTAGCGTTTTGAAGAAATTTCACAGAAATTTCTATTTTTAGTAACCATGGCAACACCGTCCATCGAAATCAAAAACCGATGCACTAAATTATGTATCTTAGTGTAGTCTACTTGTGTGCCAAGTTATATTGAAATCGGACCAAAACTGTAGGAGGAGTAGCGTTTTGAAAAATTGTTTACAGACAGACGGACAGACAGACAGACAGACAGACAGACAGACAGACAGACGGACGGACGGACGACGGACACCTTACTATCGCATAAGCTCTTCTGGTCTCTGACCAGTAGAGCTAAAAACTTACAGACAGACATATGCCAGACAAAATGTAATAAGAAATTCTCACTTGAGCTTAACAGCTCAGGTAACCTAATAAACACAAAATGGAATTCTAATTGAAAATCCTTGCTTTGTGATATCTATACAAGCATCATCTAAACAGACCACTTTTTAGTCTTTTCTTTGCCATATTTATACAAATTTCAACTTAATAGTCATTATTTTGTGATATTTATATGTGTACATCTATCATACAGACAAGTTCTTATTTTCCGATATATATACATGTATAATACAGACGAGTTCTTATTTTCTGATATCTATACAAGTGTACAATACAGACCTCTTTTTAATCCTTCCTGCTCTGCTCCTATGAGTCTTCCCCACAAATGCATGTCCTTGACATCCAGCCAGGGCTGGGGGTAGTCCCTCATTGTAATTATCCAGGAGCTCAGGCTGACATTGACCATTCTACACCAGAGGGTCACAAAGTCTAAACCCTCACCTGGGTACGGACTGTTAATACAAAGTATCTTTTTTTACAATCCATAATCACATTCTCTCTAATCCAACCAATACATAAATGTAAATGTATGTTACAATGTACATGCATAGTAGCATTTTTATAAACTCAAAAGAATAAACAAAATGCACACACACACACACATTAAGTTTTTCAGGGAATATCTGCACAATGACGGTCTATAACTTTGTCAGTAAATTCATTAAATATTTTGTTATTTATTAACAAAACTGACAATGGTTCACACATACATATAGATACAGTTTATATTTTACTACATGAGAAGTCTGTCATTACCTGTCCTTGTCGATATCCTGTAAGTGCTCCACTACGTTGTCTTTGCCGTGGAATGAGAGGTCCGCTAGAGCTAGGATCTCCACGTCCTCCATGGCCCACGTAAACAGCCTCCTTCTCATTGGTGTCTGTGTGTAAAGCTGGTGTGATCTCTGAATGTAGATGTCACTGTTCTTCTTAGCCAGGGAGGCATACAGCTCTTGTAATTTATCAGCTGTCAAAAGCATTTAATTAAACCTTAAAACTAATACTGCAGCAATACTTATTTACATCATAAAAAAATTCCTACACTTGTACATGCATCCTTGTACCAAACCTATGGTACAATTTGCAGACACTTTTATAACAAAACTGCAAACCTTCAAACTAGACTAAGCATAAACATGTTCTTAATTTAGCATCATCATACTGTGTAAAAGATATATGTAGTCCAATTTGCTTAGAAAAGATTTATTTTTCAATCATCTTGCATATTACCAGATATACACTGACATACTGAAATCTTTACTGCTTACCAGGTATGATGACACGACTTCTTGTCTCTTGAATTTTTTGGTCCAATACTTTGCGCCGTTTGATGCCTTCATTGCTTTCATCTTTCAGCAAGTCATAATTATCTCCTAGTTTAACCTCAAATGGGTCGTCACTCAGTTGTATAGTAAATGACTAGAAATAAAACCCCCATGGATATGTACAAACATGTACTGTACTGCATGAATATTATGACTCAAATATCTGATACAAAGAACATTAAAAACAGACAGGCATTCAAACGAAAGGAAACCTTCTGTGTGATTGAAATTTTAACATAAAATGCACAACCACAGCACATGATATGCCCATCAAATATTATTTAATTATCAGATTAAACAAATGAAAGTGCATAGAAAAAAAATCATGTCAACCCTGCTACAGAGATTTCAATTTTTTTCCATTTCAAATCTTTGATGTGCATCTACCAAATTAATTTTGAAAATAAGGCTAGCCAACAAGAACTACAGTTGAACTTTGGTATCTCAAACACATATATCTCAAATACCATGGATATGTCGAAGTGCTTTGGAAGTCCCAAACCCTTATTCTTTAAGTATTTTACCCTGGATATCTCGAACCCTCGGATATCTTGAAGATTTTTCTTGGTCCCTTAGAGTTTGAGATAATGAGGTTTGACTGTATTTTAAATTTGACAGATGCTATCAATTGCAAAAGGCCAGGTCCCTCTGCCCAATATCCCAGAGAAATAGATAATACCCTGCTTCATCAAAGATGCTCTAAAAAAAAAGATTAAGACAATCTTCTTCCACTAAACTCATTAAATAATCTCTAACTTGACAGATACAATGGTTATCTCTAGTATTATAAATGTTATATATATATAGCTCTACAGTATATCAGCAATACTTTTACATCTGTAGGGATTGTGTAATTTAAGAACTTTTTTTTTTAAATTTCACTTTAATCAAAGGTTACAGTGAGCTTTATGTAGGGTGCAATAGATCTTCTCCCAAAGATGCATTAATTGACCAAGTTTGATGATTTTCCAGTTATGAGCTGGACTTGATTTTGCCATACCATCTTAATTAAAGGTCATAGAGACCTACTTTGAATGTGCGACTTACTCTCTACCCAAGATGTATCAGCTGACAAAGTTTGAGTATCCTAGGCTGGAAAAAGCTAACAAACAGATAGACAGACATGAATGCCATATCTTAATACATCCTGTCTTAAGAAGGACATATAACAATTTCTACTTAAAGGACACTCAACAAATTAAAGATTCACACATATACTTGTACCTTAGCTTTAATCCTGAGATCTGGAGGGAGTTTACTGTCCACTGTAAATGGCTTTCTTTGTATATTGTGAACCAACTTCCACCATTTAAACAAATTAACAAACTTCATTAAAAAAAAAAAACTTCATTAAAAAAAAAGTCATAAACAGTTTATTTCAATTCTGTTTGAATAATAGGAAAAGATAAGTCAAACATACATATACACCGAAAGGGATGGGCATTAATTTTCATTTCAACTTGCCCTTTGGGCAAGTAAACTCTGACTTGTCCAAATGTAAAACTTGGCTGCACTAAATTTAAAGGAAGAAAAAAAAGCTCAATTTATTACTTTTACACATATTTCATTGATTGGAATACTTATAGGTGATTAACACTATCTATTATTAAATATTAAATGCACGGTTCTTAACAATATCATTTATCTGGTAAGCCAGGGTACTTCAGTTTATCTCGACTCCCCACCCCCAATTATTCTAACAGAGGTGACTTTGCAATGCCTTGCATTAACATTAATATAAATTAACATAATGATAAGTTGTACACCAAGTTTATTTGATCTGATTCATTTTATAAATAAGTTAATCAAATACCAGTATATCATAGTACAGTATCTAATTTCATAATACAGATGTAACAAAATTGTTAGACTTGGAGCATAATTTTTTCAACTAACATTGCAGAAAACAGAAAAGTTGATTACTGAATGAATGTTGATATGGAACAACTTATCTAGAACTAGCAAGGGATTCTGAATGCAATAAACAATGTCACCTTCCTGAGGAAAATCATATTTTAAAGTTATAAGAATTTCATTTACAAAGCCATTCAAAATAAATATGTTTCTATCAGAAATATTCACTTGCCCAACCAGAGATGTACAATGAGACTTTCACTAGCCCTGGGCAATCTGACAACCATTAACGTCTATCAATCTAAACACCTCCAATCATCTTATTTCTTACCTCTTCAAAGCACTCAGCAAAGTTATAGTTGAATGGAAAGCAAACTTTAAAACTTGTAAATGATATATTCCTGAAAAAAATAAACAAATTTAGTGCCCCAAGTACATATACCACACTGTATTTTGCAATCACTTAGAAGAGAAATAAAATTGTGCTCAAAGGGTATTTATTCCATATAAAAACATGTATGCCTCGAACATTTTAATGTGACATTTTTGTTTATATTGTGATTCACACCATTTATAAACACTAATGTCCTGTCACATACATTTTAAAGTCAAAAACGCAAAATGTGAACTTGCCAGGAACGGTTAGTTTGTAATGTGAGATCCCCAAAAATCGACCTTTCCTTCATCAAGAATGAATCGCCCATTGCAGCAAACAACACCTCCTGTACAGAAATATTTCATAACATATCACTTTACATATTTACATGTACAAAACTGCTTCAATTGCACAATAAATCTGATGGGACTTACCTCAATATGGAATACTTTGTGTTTATCACACTGAATGACTAAATTCTTTATCTCCATCAAGACTTCAGCTACAGATCTTTTGAAGACTAAACCCTCCACCAATAAAGTTAGACTGAAAAATGAAAATAAACATGTACAAGTACAGCTGCACATGTACTGGGAATGTATAATCAACAGGAGATATTCTAGATGCATGTAGCTTCAGTATTGACAGAACGACCAGCAAATCAAGGTCATTCCCTAGTATCAAAACTGGACAATTATAATCATACCAAGAATTCACAAAAGATATGGTCAAATTTAGAAGTATTTACAGTGAAACTTGTACAATCTGGATGTTGTGTATTCTGAAATCTTGCCTAATACGATGTAAACTTCAAGTCCCTTTCAATAAATTCAATTGTTAAAAATGTTGTCTAATCCAGCAATTAATTTGGAACCAGTGGTGTCCAGATTCAACAAGTTTTACTGTATAATGATTTGACATAGAATTTGTTTGCTATGATCTGTCCTCGATTACCTACTAATTAAACAAAACTCTGAGACAGATGCATGCCCTGCTGATTACAGTAAAACTTGTCTAATCTGGTCATCACTGGTTCTAAAGAAATTGGCCAGATTAGACAACATTCTGAATAAAACAACATTTTAAAAAAAATTGAAATTACTGAAAGGGACAAAAGGGACTTAAAAGTAAACTCTCTGTTTGTAAAAAGATGGCTTACGATCTTTGCTGTGCTAGTTTTAGTGTCAGAGACATTTTAGCTGTAACCCCCACATTGATCTTCATCCTAAACTTAGCAGAGGAATTCTTTAAGAGTGGACTCGGTTTCTTAAAATCTGAAATGGATATCAGGTCATTATTTAATAATTTAATTCTGTTTATAACACAATATTTGATTGGATAAAAAATTTACTTTATATTGTAAAAATTGGGTTGCCTACGTCACAATTACTTGTGTCAAAAACTGAATAAAATTGTATTTAAATATAACACACACACACTAAAACTGAATTTCAGTATACAAAAATACAATAAGTATCTCAAAATATCTTCAATTACTACATACCACAGAAATTATCATCAGCTGAATTCACATTTATTTTCTTCATAATTCTCTCCTTACAAACACTTTGTAATAAGTACATGTATGAGCATTAAACCTAGCTAGTTTCTTGGTGTAAAGTTTATATAAAGTGATAAATTTTTGGTGTCCTTTTTGCAAAGTGAACATTTGACTTTGATGGCATGTACCTTACATTTAGCTTCTTCAAGATATGTATTTTTGAGCTTGGTGACAAGTTTATTTGTGTTCAATAATTTTTTTTATAGAATACCTTTGAATTTTGTTACGAGTTCCTTCGTATCTTCCAGTGCCTGGATGATACACATATGATGACCGGTCTCCCAGTGACAAGACACAGTTTGGGTCACCTTTATGTCCAGTGTCTGGAAAGATTATATCAACAGCTAATGAGAAAACATAATCACATTTTCAGCATGAGTGATTCACAAGCACTTATCTATAAACAGGAATTGTCTGAGAAATAGTGATTTCCTTGTAATCCCTTGAGACAACGATAAAATTAGTAATAATAGAAATACTAGTAAATGGTCAAATAACTCAAACAAAACATCATGTAATAAATACAATATAGAATTTCTGAAACTTACATTCCGAGTATGTGAAATAACAATTTCCACTTTTTGAATGTGAACAGCTGGATTGTGTAGATCACTAGGACTCGGCAGTTTTACAAACTGTAACAAAATGGAATAAAAAAGAGCACAGTTAACCCAAATCCCTCCTCCCCCAACACCTTTAATATACAAAACCCTTATTAAGAAATTATTAAATTGAATGTTTTTTTTAACCTTTTAAAACAGTAGTAAATCTCATATCTTGTATTACACCCTTTCATTATTATGTATTAATTTAAACAGTCCTATGATAGTCTATAATAACATCTTAGTTTAAACTATATATCAGGTATAATTATAGTATACATCCCTTCTTCAAGCCTCAGGGCCATGATGCATACCTGATCTGTAAGTTGAACAGCAATGACCTTGACCCCCTCTATGGCCAGGTCTGTCTGTGAAGGTTGTTTGCACATAATGACACTGTCCAATCTTAGCATCAAGCCAACTACAATTTAGATTTTAAAAATGTTTCCATAAATTAGCACCATACATAGCAATTTCTCTGCTGGCATATTCAATGATGTACAAAACATACGATGTTTTGTACATCATGGCATATGCCAGCAAAGAAATTGACATATGATATTTTTTGTACAAGTAAAAATCTTTAATAGATAAATAAATTTTTTTTACAACTTATTTATTTTTAAACAAATGTCATCCTCAAATGATTGAATGTTTTCTCTAGGATATCACTAATATTTAGTCTCTTTATCAAGAAACCAACAATAGGAAGAGTCATATTGGTTTTTGCATGGATGTTTGCCCACCTTTTTGTCTGTCTGTCTGTCTGGCCATATCTCTCACCTTTGTAATTATTAGTGATGAACACACTTGTGTTAGTTGCCTCAAAGTTGATTGTAATCTTTAAATCAGCAGGTAATCTCAACGGTGTATTTCCTGACATTTGAACACTGGATGAGGGCCTTGGCAGAGTGATCTCCCCTGAATAGGAGCGGGATCTCTGTAGGGAACTTAGAAAGCTGAGGAGGACATTAACGGTGTTGGAGGACCACTCTAGCTGCCCATTCATCACAATAGATGTCACTTCCACATCACTCCCTGACTTCATCATCTGACATACCAATATTACATACAGTGTAATATATATATATTTCTTGAAAGATATCAGATGAAAATATTTACTTAGCTTTGTATTCTTGAGTATTAAATGAATTTTTTTCTCATTTTTTTTTCAGCTGCATTCTCATATTACAAACAGTGTGTGTACATATACATACATTAGATGCCTGCTTACTTTGAACTAAAACTTTACCTTTAGAACCAGTTTATCTATGTAGATGGGATGGTCCCAGTAATGATGCTGATAGTTCAGTTTATCTGGTGTGACTGAACTCTCCATGTGTTGACAGTAGACTGTTTGTACCTCCATTTGACAGGAGAGGTCCTGTTGTTGGATATCTCCTGTTTGAAAAATGTAATTTAACCATGTCAGTTACACTTGGGTTTCTTTATAAACATAGGATCATTATACCTGTGTCAGTTCTCATTTTATACTATGGTATATACAAGTCAATATAAATACATGTACTGTGAATGATTCAAAGTCCTAAGATAGATGCAATTCAATGTAAATAACTTGACAAATCCATTTTTTTCTAATGAATCTCACAATGATAAATAGACAAACCTGCCACTCCAGGAAAGACAGCAAACGAGAACTGAGTGGAGTGAACACCGAAATGAAGACCAGAACAGATAGCAGATGATACAGCAGAGGACACATCATTTAAATTCACAACACATGAAATCTCACGACTGTGTAGAAACTCCTTCAGTTTTGTCCTGAAAATGCATGCATGTAAAACAAAAATGAGCATTAAATTATGCATATATTCACTGTAGCATTCTCAAAATGTCAGTTGTGCATTTGAAAGAAGCCAAATAAATAAACTTGACGTCAATCAAAGCTTGCGTCTGATGCAACTTGATTGAAAATAACAAACGAAAAATACTTGCAAGTGCAGAAATAATGAAACTTTGGATGATAAAGGACTCTCAGAGTATAAAACAAACAATAAAGAGGGCAGCAATTCTTTTTTTAAGCTTTCTTATTGAGAAAAAAACAGAAGCGGGGAGTTTGAAAGCTTTCTAACATGAACTTAATGACGATTTCCGTGTTTTTTTTTTGTTTTTTTTTGCTTGCTGACATCCTAAATCAATAAGACATTCAGTATACTAAAAAAATAGTGCATGTTTTTGAGGGTAACAGTTGAAATTAAACCCTCCGAAAAACACTGTCAACCTCCGCTGTCAGTTGACACTGGTTTCCTTTGGGATGTCAATTTCAACTGGTACCCTCAAAAACATGCACTATTTATATAATGTTAACTGTAGAGAGATATCTGGATGTGTTACATGTACATGTAGAGAAATATCTTGATGTGTTACTTGTAGAGAGATATCTGGGTGTGTTAACTCTACAGAGATATCTGGATTTGTTACATGTAGAGAGATATCTGATTGTGTTACCTGTAGAGAGATATCTGGATGTGTTACATGAAGAGAGTCATCTGGATGTGTCATCTGTAAAGAGATATCTGATTGTGTTACTTGTAGAGAGATATCTGGATGTGTTATTTGTAGAGAGATATCTGGATGAGTTATCTGTAGAGAGATATCTGGATGTGTTACATGTAGAGAGTAATCTGGATGTGTCATCTGTAGAGAGATATCTGTGTTACTTGTAGAGAGATATCTGGATGTGTTACCTCTAGAGAGATATCTGGAAGTGTTAGCTGTAGAGAGATATCTGGATGTGTTATCTGTAGAGAGATATCTGGGTGTGTTACTTGTAGAGAGAGATATCTAGATTTGTTGCCTATAGGGAGACATCTTGATGTGTTACTTGTAGAGAGATATCTGGATTTGTTACCTGAGGGGAGATATCTTGATGTGTTACTTTTACGGAGTTATTCAGATAAGGTACGTGAGGGAAGATACTTTGATGTGTTACCTGTAAGGATGTGTAACCTGTAGGGAGATACAGTATGTATCTTGATGTGCTACTTTTAGGGAGTTATTTGGATGTGGTACCTGTGGGAAGATACTTAGATGTGTTACCTGTAGAGAGATATCTGGATGTGTTACCTGAAGGGAGATGGTTGACTAGATTGGGTAGACATTGCTGATAACTGGGGAGAGGACCGTCCCTCAGTTAAACGGCAGACAATGCTGCTCCAATATTGCACTTCCTCATGATGATAATGAAAGTAACCTCCATGTACAGCTAAAGAACTATCAATGGAGTCCCCCCCAACCTGGAAATTATATCAACATACATCACGGGTTATATAATGAGTAATCAGCAGGATAAAAATATATCACAGCTTCTTATTTAACATGCACAATGAAAAATGAGAATTTAAAAAGCTTATACCTTGCACTTGATTTTCATCTTTTCTAAATCAGCAAATCTGGCTTGTGGAGATTTTGTATGAAAGTCTGGAAGTGGAAAACAAAATACAATGTAACTATGAAGAGTGGGATTTTAATAAACACAGGAGTTACCGACACTTACCATCTATAATAATGTTAAGAACAGCTTCTTCACTACTGCTAGTATTTACTTCATGTAAACTCTTCCCTTTGAAGAATTCAGTGTGGAACATTCTCAAACTTATACTTAGTGTCCTACAAAATAATGGCACACATCAATACAAAATAATGGTACACATCAATTCAAAATAATGGTACACATCAATTCAAAATAATGGTACACATCAATACAAAATAATGGCACACATCAATTCAAAATAATGGTACACATCAATACAAAATAATGGTACACATCAATTCAAAATTCAAAAATGGAGAATAATAAGCAGTGCATCTTTCATGATTAGTGAGTACTTCATCCAGATATCTTAAATCATTTTTTGTTGTCATTTTGTATACACTATGAAATGTAAAAATGATTCTACCTTTGTTTATTATCCCTAACTATCACTGTATGTAAATCTGTAACATCGATTCCAATTTCCTGTAGAATGGTAAACACAAAAGGTTAATATAAAGAAAATGTACCAATGTACAGTGTATTATTGTTAATGTTACAAAAGATTTGTAAGATGATCTGCACTTTAACATAATTCAATTAAGAGAGAAATGTACTTTTCAATGTTTTATGGAATTAATACTCTAACAGTACTACTTACTATCAACTTGAAGGTAATCAATTTTTTAGCACTTTTCATAATTAAGCCACTAAAAATAGAGTCAAAGGCACCAAAACATAAGTAAACAAACAATATCCTAATGCCCTTCTCCAAATAAAAACACTTGAGGGGAATTTCAATATTTACACCAAAATATTCTTAACCCCCCCCCCCCCCCCACCCCTTTTCAAATAATACTCCTTGAAGGAGCTCAATATTTTGCAGCCATAATATCTTGTACTTCTCCCTTTCTACTAAAGGGAATGAGAATTTAAATACATATACTTTATGTGGCATTATCTCCAGTCTTTTCCAGAAAGTATGCATGCCTGGTAGTGTGCATTCCAAGTTGCATCATCCACGCAAGTTTAGTCACCATAGGGCTTATAGTTACTATGGAAGGAACCTGCTCCATAAACTTTAAACTGGTCACTAACCAAACAAACGTAGGTCAGATACAGCATCTGAAGCAAGTGTGTGCATCCCTAGATGCATCACCAATGTAAGTCTGGTCCAAATAGGGCTTATATTAATTGGAGAAATAGACCTGCTCCAAAAACCTTTTTCTTGAAACTTGGAGCAAAAAAACCAAAACAATTATGACACTTACATTTGGAATAATTTGTTCTAATGGAATCTTTGAGACAGGGTTTTGGCTAGAAGGTCTCTCTGAAAAATCAATGTCTTATTTAGTTATGAGACCCACCAGAAGTAATATATCTTCATTGTGAATCAAAACCACACTGAGTGTTTAATTTATTCTCCCTTCCTTATGTTCTATTTTACCTTCTCTGGCTAATGCATTGGCAAGGTGAGATCGGCGGACATCTTGTAAACTTGTCAAGAAAGCTGTAAAATACAATTAATGTTTGTCGTAAATATTGATAGCATTCAATGTAAATACACTGCAACTTACAGTTAAACATGGCAACAAAAAAAAAAAATAATAGAAGATATAGAGCATTTTTAAAGATTAGTTAATCCTAATTACCTTCTGTCATCATTGCTTGTGGTTTCTCCACCAAAATTCTTGCTGACTAAAGAAAGCCATAGAAAAATGACAAAAGGGTAATTATTTTAACCCTACGAGACTAATTATGAATTTGAGAGAAAAACACATTCTACACTAGAATCTAAATTAAATTTTTTACAAATGTTTTACACTTTTTTTTAAATTTTTTACATACAACTTCTGAAGTTTTTATCATTTTACACATTACAAATACATATACAGTCAAACTTTGTTATCTCGAACTCAATAGGACCGAGAAAAAACTTTGAGATATCCAAGGATTCAAGATATTGAGGGTAAAATACTTAAAGAATAAGCGGTTGGGACTTCAAAATCACTTCGACATATCCATTGTATTTGATATATTGGTGTTCGAGATACTGAAGTTCAACTGTATGTACTATACATGTATGGGTATATCTTTGGAATTCATAGTATCTACAGGCATACAAATTAACCTTAATTTTTGTTTTGCTGTGTATAAGACTGATGACGTGAATTAATTTCCAGGAGGCTTCAGCAAGACAGGGCTCTACATTCTCTGTCTGTAAAGGAAAATGATCCGATTACTGACATTTTAATTTCTCTTTTCTTTTGATTTTAGATAAACAATGTTAGTGAGCATTAGCTATAAAAAATAACCTGGGCATCTTACGAATAGAATGGATAATGAACATCCAGTCATTTTCAAATTAGCAAAGTTCTACTTAGATTTTAAACACGAATATAAGTATACATATAATATATATACATGTATATATATACTTACTGTCTGTGCACTGCGTAATGCCTGACATTTTACACTGTCAACATCAAATGTCAGCTGATAGCTGAAAAAAAACAATGAGAAATGTTTATTGCATAAAATAAAAAAGACAAACAACATTCAAAAGTTGTGGCATTGATATTTTTATATCCATATGGTGGTAATTAAAAACTGATAATTCAAAGAAAAATCTGTTTAATAAGGGATAACAATGTACATCCCTTGAACTGGTTGCCAACAATAATTCTATCACTCTCAACAGCTAGAATAATCCCTAGCTAAGTCACTCTTAAATTAGAAACCTTCCATCTTCAAGCCACCTTCAATCTGATATCTATGTACCATTATCAGTTACTCTTAATGTACTATCTCTTAGTCATCACTCTAGATCAACTATCCCTCAGTCACTCTTAGTCAGATATCTAACATCTCCCAGTTACTCTCAAACAGATATCTAACATCTCTCAGTTACTCTTAATCAGATTTCTAACACCTCTCAGTCACTCTTAATCAGATATCAACTATCTCCCAGTTACTCTAAATCAGATACCTAACATCTCCCAGTTACTCTTCATCAGATATCTAACATTCAGCAGTCACTCTTAATCAGATATTTAACATCTTTTAGTCACTCTTAATCAGATATCTAAGATCTCTCAGTCACTCTTAATCAGATATATAACATCTCTCAGTTACTCTTAACCAGATATCTAACATCTCCTAGTCACTCTGAATTAGATATCTAATATCTCCTTGTTACTCTTAATCAAATATCTAACATCTCCCAGTCACTCTTAATCAGAAATCTAATATATCCTAGTCACTCTTAATCAGATACCTAACATCTCCCAAGTAACTCTTAATCAGATATTTAACATCAATCAGTAACTCTTAATCAGAAATTGACCACCTCTTAGTCATTCAAATCAAAAACTTACCATTTCCCAGACACTTGAAAACAGATATCTAACCATCATCACTCTTAATCAGAAATTTACCATCTATAAGTCACTTTTAACATTTCTCAGTCAAATTCTTAATCAGCAATCTAACATCTTAAAAGTTTCTTCATCAAAAATCTACCATATATCAGATATGAGATTTACCATTTCTCAGTCACTCTTTAACATATATCTACCACCTATAAGTCATTCTTAATCAGATATATCTACCATCTATAAGTCACTCTTCATCAGATATATCTCCCATCTATAAGTCCCTCTGCATCAGCTATCTACCATCTATAAGTCCCTCTGCATCAGCTATCTACCATCTATAAGTCCCTCTGCATCAGCTATCTACCATCTATAAGTCCCTCTTAATCAGATATATCTACCATCTATAAGTCCCTCTTAATCAGATATCTACCATCTATAAGTACCTCTTAATCAGATATCTACCATCTATAAGTACCTCTTAATCAGATATCTACCATCTATAAGTACCTCTTAATCAGATATATCTACCATCTATAAGTCACTCTTAATCAGATATATCTACCATCTATAAGTCCCTCTTAATCAGATATCTACCATCTATAAGTACCTCTTAATCAGATATCTACCATCCAGATGGGGGGGGGGGGGGGGGGGGTCATCATTTGAACAAAGTTGAATCAACACTACCTGAGGATGCTTCCATATCAATGTGACTAATCATGGCTTTGCTGTTCTTGATAAGATTTCTCTCATTTTTTTCCCTATATATTCCTATGTAACACTTTGAACCCCCATTGTGGTCCCACCCTATCCCCAGGGGTCCTGATTTGAACAAACTTGAATCTACATACCTGAGAATGCTTCAATATAAATATTACTAAACATGGCTTTGCTGTTCTTGAGAAAAAGATTTTTAAAGATTTTTTTCCTATATATTCCTATGTAAAACTTTGATTCCCTATTTTGGCCCCTCTCTATCCCAAGGGGTCATCATTTGAACAAACTTGAATCTATACTACCTGAGAATGCTTCCATATCAACATGACTAAACAAGGCTTTGCTGTTCTTGAGAAAAAAAATTTTAAAACTTTTTTCTATATATTTCTATGTAAAAATTTGATCCCCCATTGTGGCCCCACCCTATCCCCGGGGGTAATCATTTGAACAAACTTGAATCTATATTACCTGAGGATGCTTCCATATCAATATGACTAATCATGGCTTTGCTGTTCTTGAGAAGAAGATTTTACATGTTTTCCTATATAAAACTTTGATCCCCCATTGTGGCCCCATCCTACCCCCAGGGGTCATCATTTGAACAAATTTGAATCTACACTACCTGAAGATGCATCCATATCAATATGACCAATCATGGATTTGCTGTTCTTGAGAAGATGATTTTTAAAGATTTTTTCCTATATATTCCTATGTAAAACTTTGATCCCCCACTGTGACTCCACCCCAATCTGGGGGGGGGGGGTCATGATTTGTACAAACTTGAATCTACATTACCTTAGGATGCTTTCATATCAATATGACTAATCATGGCTTTGTTGTTCTTGAGAAGAAGATTTTACAAGTTTTTTCCCTATATATTCCTATGTAAAACTTTGATCCCCCATTGTTGCCCCACCCCATCCCCAGGGGTCATCATTTGAGCAAACTTGAATCTACACTATGTAAAGATGATTTCCTAAAAAGTTTCAACTTTTTTGACCCAGTATTTCTTGAGAAGAAGATTTTTAAAACATGCCACCAAATTTTCACTATTTCTGAATTATCTCAACTTGAACGAGGGCGTGGCCCTTCATTTGAACAAACTTGAATCCCCTTCATAAGGATACTTTGTAGCAAGTTTGGTTGAAATTGGATCAGTGGTTCTGGAGAATAAGTCGAAAATGTGAAAAGTTTACAGATGGAGAGACAGACTACAGACAAAATGTGATCAGAAAAGCTCACTTGAGCTTTCAGCTCAGGTGAGCTAAAAAATTGAATTTTGAGATTATAATGATTCATAAAGATGTGAGCAGGGAATAAGCCTTCAATCTAACTCTTAAATATGCAGTTAAACATAATATAAGACATCAATAACTCCAAATTTTGTCCCATTTTTGATTTAAAAATCCAAATTGAAAGGGTGCAGGACCATATACCCCAGATACCAAAAAGGGTCTATTAAGCTCTGCTCAGTCACAAATAATCAGAAAATGCTCAGTCACAAATAATCAGAAACCACCCATCTCCCATTCACTTTTAATTTAGTTTCCTTTAGAAATTCTCAATCAGATAACCTTCCATTCTTAGCATTCTCAGCAACTCTTAATGAGAAACCTACCAGCCTTTCCTCCCTCACAATCAGAATCCTACACTCTCAAATTCACCATTAATCAAAGACCTACCATCTCCTAGTCTTCCTGAGTCAATCTTAATAATTAGATATCTACCACAAAAACCTACCATACTTTAGTCAATCTCAATAAAACCCGACCATATTTCATTCACTTTCAATCAAAAACCTATCATATTTAAGACAATTATAATCAGAAACCTATCATATTTTATCCAGAAACTTTCCCTATTTCATTCACTCTCAAATATCTACCGTATCTGAGTCACTTTCATTCAGATACTTACCAGCTCTCTGTAACAGTGATATTCAGATTGACAGAATCATCTCAGTCAGATACTCACCAGCCCTCTGTAACAGCGATATCCAGGTTGACAGAGTCACACTCAGATACTCACCAGCCCTCTGTAACAGTGATATCCAGGTTGACAGAGTCACACTCAGATACTCACCAGCCCTCTGTAACAGTGATATCCAGGTTGACAGAGTCACACTCAGATACTCACCAGCCCTCTGTAACAGTGATATCAAGATTGACAGAGTCACACTCAGATACTCACCAGCCCTCTGTAACAGTGATATCCAGGTTGACAGAGTCACACTCAGATACTCACCAGCCCTCTGTAACAGTGATATCGAGATTGACAGAGTCACACTCAGATACTCACCAGCCCTCTGTAATAGTGATATCCAGGTTGACAATGTCACACTCAGATACTCACCAGTCCTCTGTAACAGTGATATCCAGGTTGACAGAGTCACTCTCAGATGCTCACCAGCCCTCTGTAACAGTGATATCCAGGTTGACAGAGTCACACTCAGATACTCACCAGCCCTCTGTAACAGTGATATCCAGGTTGACAGAGTCACACTCAGATACTCACCAACCCTCTGTCACAGTGATATCCAGGTTGACAGAGTCACTCTCAGTCAGATACTCACCAGCCCTCTGTAACAGTGATATCCAGGTTGACAGAGTCACACTCAGATACTCACCAACCCTCTGTCACAGTGATATCCAGGTTGACAGAGTCACTCTCAGTCAGATACTCACCAGCCCTCTGTAACAGTGATATCCAGGTTGACAGAGTCACTTTTCACATGGACAAGGCAGTCTTGTATCATTGTATTCAGCAATAACACAGTGAGGTTAGAGATTTTCAGTCCTAAAAACTAAAGATATAATCCAAAATATTATTTTGGAGGGAAAAACTTGAATATGTCTATAGTACATGCCTTTTTCACCCAATGGCACATTTGTATTGCAAAATGAAAAGCATAAACCTTGTTACTTTGACATGGTAGTAAAATATGATGAAGTAAGATTTTTTATTTTCTTTTAAATGCAGACAATTTCAGAAAATTACATAATTTGGTCTCATAAACATTTGTCTGTGGATTTAGTAGTATGAAGTAATATTTTAACAAATTCATTAGAGATGTATTAAGAGGAAATTTTGTCAAGTTTATTGGTTAACAGATTAATTTCTCTTTACCTTAGTACGACTTCTCATGAAAAAAAAAATGTTGAATAATTTCTTTGAAATTGAAATAAACATAAATTAAGGTGAAGGTCATACAAGGTTAAGATCATAGAATATTGAAAAAATGAATTGCTATGATCAATAGGTAAATAAGGATATGAAATTTGATAAAAATATTTTGAATGGTTTCTTTGAAACTGCAGCTAAATGCATAGATGAGGGACAAGAAGCAAAACAGTGTTGGATAAATAATATGATTGAAAGACTAATGGAAGACATAAACAAGAGGCCCAGGGGCCACATCGCTCACCTGAGCACTCTGGCTAGGAAAAAGCAGAAATCAGTTCAGTCTTGAAAAGTTTAAATATAAAATTAAATATAAAACTGGTTCGGGGGGGGGGGGGGGGGGGGGATCATGATTTGTACAAATTTGAATCTACATTACCTGATGATGCTTCCATTTAAATATGACTAATCATGGCTTTGCTGTTCTTGAGAAGATTTTTAAAGATGTTCCCTATAAATTCCTATGTAAAACTTTGATCCCCCATTGCGGCCCCACCCTACACTTGGGGGTCATGATTTGAACAAATTTGAATCTACACTACCTGAGGATGCTTCCATATAAATATGACCAATCATGGGTTTGCTGTTTTTGAGAAGAAGATTTTTAAAGATTTTTCCTATGTTTTCTTATGTAAAACTTTGATCGCCCATTGTGGCTCCACCCTACCCCCGGGGGTCACGACTGGAACAAACTTGAATCTACACTACCTGAGGATGCTTCCATATAAATATGACCCATCATGGGTTTGCTGTTCTTAAGAAGAAGATTTTTTAAAGATTTTTCCTATGTATTCCTATGTAAAACTTTGATCGCTCATTGTGACCCCACCCTACCCCCGGGGGTCATGATTTGAACAAACTCGAATCTACACTACCTGAGGATGCTTCCATATAAGTTTCATATTTTCAAGCACAGTGGTTTTTGAGAAGAAGAATTTTAAATAATGCCATTAATTTTTCATGAATTCATAATTATCTCCCCTTGGAAGAAGGCGTGGCCCTTCATTTGTACAAACTTGAATCCCCTTCACCCAAGGATACTTTGTGGCAAGTTTGGTTGAAATTGGCCCAGTGGTTCTTGAGAAGAAGATGAAAATGTATAAAGTTTACGACAACGACCACGACGACAGACGACGGACAAATTTCAATCAGAAAGGCTCACTTGAGCCTTCAGCTCAGGTGAGCTAAAAATAGTAAATGCACAGACATATCTTGTATGAAAACTTTATTTTGTCAATTAAAATTTTTCCTTTTAATAATTTGATAACTACTTTTGGATATATATTACTATTTTAATGTAACACAAAGTTTCTTAAAGGATATTACCTGACTATAGTAAGCTAGTTTGGTTACTACAGACTTCCTCTCCTGAGATCGGGGGGTGGATCCTTGTTCTTCATGGTGGACATCAGCTTGTACTCTAATATCCTCAATACATATAACTAGGGGTTTCCTGATTGGATAATGAGTATTAAATGTTAAGTGTTATATTTATTGATATTGACATTTATGCACACATAATTCAGGAATCTCAGAGCCCTATTAAAAAAAACAAACAAAAATTTTGATCGATAGTACAACACACTCTAAAATTAAATTTCTTCATTATTATGAAACCTTTTTTATCTAGTATACAAAAGGAGTATTACACAAATGTACTATTTAAAATTGTTTCTGTGAGTATGATACTGCACTAAAATTCTTTCAAAATTTTTAAACACTATCCACTTACTTTACATCTTGGTTAAAAAAAACACTGGACAACCAGGCTCTTTCTATTTCCTGTTAAGAAAATATGTGCTTGGAAGAAATGATGCTATTCTATAACTGCAAGAACAATTCTATATATAACTTATTTCTGTACTTTGACCTTAATTATGTCCTTGACATAAAATAGAGATTAACCCACTAAATAGGAAGTCTCTCTATCAGAGTTCAAAAGTTCTGGTTAATATAGAATTTGAAAAAAGATGCACTAAAATCAAATACTATATATCTGAATGCTCCAGGCACAGAATACATATGTACCTCAGAAGGTATTGTGTCAATAGTCTCGAGTTTAAAACTCTGCTAAAGAGTTGAGTTCTTTGACAATTTTTTTTGTTTTTTGAGTCAGAGATCATAAAAGTTCCTTTTTGTTGTTACATGTAAGGTATTGAGTATATAGACATTGACACAAACTAACCACAGAGAGTCCTTTCTTGATGTTAATCTGGACTTTCTTACAGCTGAAAAGACCCACACTTCCAATCTTCACTAAGACTCCGCCATATCTCTGCAGCAGCCATTGTGCCAACCAAGCTAGCAATCTGTAAATGAATCACAATAATACAGAATAATCAGATCTTAAAACACAGTCAAAAATAATCAGATCTTAAAGCAATCAAAGTCACATACAGTAAAACATGTTTATAGCCAAGTGCAAGTAAATGAAAATTTTTTTTTATACACATAATTCATCTTAACGGACAAGTTCATAATATGTTTTAAAACCATAAGGAATGAAAATAACTTCTCTATGTGTGTAAATTCATTGTAGGCATGTTTGCTGTAATCATGTTTTACTTTACCCTAATATTTTTAGTGTAGTATTTTATGTCATGGACTCTTTAGAATTGTCAACAATAAGCAGTATCAATCTTATGTATATCAATTCCATAAATAAATTTTGGAGGACTTCTAAATAGTGCCATTGAAATAAGAAATATTACTGCTAGGTAGCAGTACTTATTTTTCAACCAAATACATTGTTCCTCCTTTTCTATCCAGTTCACTAACTTCTCTACTGGATGAGTTGATTGTGTTAGGTAAATTTAAGTGCAGTTTTAAATTTTCTATTAATACAATAAAACTTGTCTAATTTGGTACACCAGTGATTCTACAGAAATTAAGTGGATAAGACAACATTCCTGATTAGACATTTTTAACAACTGATTGAAATTAAAAGGATTCAAAGTTTTCATTGTAGGTATGATTTTCAAAACACAACATCCATATTTATAGACAAGTTTTACTGTACTTGTTTTGTTCCAGTGTATGTGATATATTTTTCTATCAAGCAATTTTTTTTTCTATTTTATTTTTTCATTATTATAATTTTTTTTTTGGCATCAGTAAATTTTTCCTGCTTCTAAAGGTACTGAAGTTTGTAAAGAAATCATCTATACTAGACTTAAATTTCACAGCATCAATAACCTCACAGAGGTTACAAAACCAGAGTTGCAGCCACCAATAACATGAAAGAAAGATCAAAAAGATTTAAATTAAATTGTACATGTGCAACAGTTATGAACCATCTTCTTTGATATTTAACACTTTGAACATATTTTAGAATAGAGACTCAATGAAACAGAAATCATAAAGCCATAAAAATTTTAAAGTTTTGCACTTATAAACAAGTAGAGAAATAAGTCTCCAGTAAAATGGCTTTAGAAGATGCTACAGTTATTAGATTTATTTTTAATGGTAATCCACAGACATTATGTTCGTGAAATATATTTGTAATGAGTAATATATAAATGGTCGACACATGCATTTCCATTCATTATCTGGTTTACTGGCATTCAAACCAACCAACCAGAAAGGAATTGTCCTCAGATCATTAATCATGCCCTTTACATTCACTTACATCTCCAACTATTGTACATCAAAAGACCGTACAGACACTTTTTTAATGTAAGAATTAATGACGGCTTCCATGATTGATCACTGATAGGATAGATTGTATTGAGAATATTGTGAACTGCTTTTTCTGATGTACAACATCATTGCATTGGGCTGCTACATTTTTAATACTATTGATCCCATCAGTGAGACTATTAGCTAAAAGCTTGAACGAGAAATATGTTGGTATTGGACAAACTCACATTAATCCCTAATTTGAAAACTAATAATATATATGATTCCAATCAATAACACAACTGATGTTGCAGTACACTGATATACATGTTCACTAAAAATTCGCAGGAAAAAAGAATTAAAAATCATGTAATCAATAGATATGTACTGTTAATCAACGGTTTAAGAACCTGCAATACAACAGAATATTTCACTCATCTGGTTTTTCTACAATCTACCAGAGACCACAAAGCTATATAGCCTTAGTACCTACAGCCTCTGTTGATTAAAAACGTTCTCTCTGTCATCTGACACTAACGTCTAGATTTTTATTTATATGTGGTTTTCATGATGTGAAACAGATGGGGATTAAGGATTTGCATTGAGGACCTTCGTATGCAGTGTAGACTGCTCATATGTTATTGAAATGAAAGAATATATATACTGTAGCACACAGTGTGCTGGGACTTGAACTAGGAACCAATGAACCACTTGACAATTTAAGAATAATTTCAGAATGTATGAAAACATCAATTAATAGAATTCAGGCATTAAGGTCCTTTATTATTTCTCAGAGGAATTCACTAGCCAATTACTATTATAATAGTTGAACCAAATAAAATTGTTATCCCACTAGGATTTTTTTTTTCTTACAATGGATGTCAGAGTAAGAAATAGGTTTTAAAATTTAAAAAAAAAATTAAATAAAATAAAAATCTGTCATAGTTCCTGGCTTACTTAAAAATCCATAAAAATTGATTCACATAATAAATTTTCAACTTCAATGGGGGAAAAAACCCATGGTAATCATTATTATCAATTATTCATCTAGATAAATACTGAAAGGCATCAAAATGCAAACAGTTATATTGTTTTCTTATCACAAAAATAGTCTGTGTTCACTTTCACTAATTAGTACTTTGGCAATATGTATACAAGTTATGCAAATAAATTATGTATAATTTTTAAACTCAAACAAAAAAAATATGTTTTTAAATTCCACTCATGTTTTTTTTGTTTGTTTGATGTTTCAATAGCTTCACAGTTGTTTATCTGAATCACTATCAGCTGGTGATCAGTATGTATGTAAATATATCATCATTATTTAGAGAGAACCACTTTTATTCTGGTCTTCCTGATAGCCCTAATAACAAGTATTTCTCTCTCTCCCTGTCTCTACCAGGGCATGAATTACTTCTAAAACAATATTCCATTACATAATGACAGGCAGAAACAGCTATCTACCAAAGCCTGGCCATGGCAGGCCTAGAAATCAATACCAGCCAAATTCATTTAATAAATCACCCGGTTCTAGCTACAAATGACTTGATTTTTAAAATCTTGCCTATCCGCGGTGACAAGAGATATGAAGAATAATGACTGCAGCAGACAGCATTGATTTTCTTAGTACGCAGGTGTTTTCTTCATACCTGGAATATGCTGAGTACCTTATGTAACCTTCCAATCACAGCAGAACTCTTAATTTACATCATTAATTCCTAAATCTTTTATAATACCTTGTAAAAACTTCAGCATTGTTTGGTTGTTATTCATTGTATATTATATTCTTCATTTTTATCGGTTTCATCTTTTTTTCTTTGCATCACTCCTTTTTTATAGATGCTAGCTAAGTATTTAAATTTTAAATACTTATAAAGATATTGCCATGCAAGAACCATGAGATAAAAAGGGAAATCAGCGTAAAGGTAAAGAGACAAACACGATGATGATCTCAATACGATTGATCACCAGTTGATGCTAAAATTTATTTCAAATAAAATCTGATTCTGCCAATTGCTATATCAAAATAATTAATTCTAGTATTTGCATTAAAATTTATAATAAAATTTGTGTCAACAGATGCACTGAAAAATTAACTACCACATACACATTTTCTTCATATTTTGTATCTGTCTCTAATCAAACAACTTTCGTATTTACCAGAGTAATTTCCCTTGGCAAATCAGTCCATTTCCCTGTATGTCTATCAAACATTTTAGATGATTCTGTCAATAAATATGTCTGTAAGAGTGCAAGATTTAATTTTCTCTGTTATCCCATAGTGGTACATAACTAATAAATAAATAAGAAAAAAAAACCTTTAAACAAAGTTGACATTTGTGAAGAAGCACATGTAAAATGTTCACGGTATAAACCATGACAGCCACTAAAACAAGGGAGATAATGACAACAACTCATAAAGTTGGCTACAATGATTGCAGTTCATTGAAGATATCTAAATGTTTTTAAGACCACTAGTTTTGCTCCGTCCATATAAAAGTCTATGATTTTATAAACCATTACATCATTCATACATTTTCCTACTTGCAACTTTTATGAAAAAATGCTGACCCATTTTTGTGATATATTAACAGGGTTCTCCACAAGGGGTTTTACCATGGCGGCCCGCCATGGTTAAATTTATGTGCGCCATGGTTAAACGAGCTGCGCCATGGTTAAAATCAGCGGCCGCCATGATTAAATTTTTATTGCATTTTAGTATTTACACCTACTTTTTAATGATTTGAGTAGTTAATTGTGTTTATATTACGACTGCCATACATCTCGCATGCCTCGAGGGAAAGCAGACTGTGCTCAACAAACGCGGTCGCTGATCGGCGACTATGCTGTGAAGCGTGATAATTAACATAATTAAGAATTTTGTTTTAATTGGAATTCGTAACAGGAGAGAGAAAAATGTGATGGACCAGACCAGGATTTGAACTCGCGCCCCCTGAATCTCCAGTCAGGTGCTCTACCAACTGAGCTATCTGACCACTGCTGATTGAAATCGTCTGACCACAACAATCCTCCCTCCTTAAAGTTCTTCGGCCTCCAAAAACACCAACCCAGGCTCTTCCCTGGCAGGTCTTTTACCTGTCACTTCCAGGGTATGGTACGGTACCAAATGTAACAGGAGAAGAGAAAAATGAGATGGACCAGACCAAAATTTGAACCCGGGCCCCCTGAATCTCCAGTCAGGTACTCTACCAACTGAGCTATCTGGCCACCGGCGATCGAACTCATCGGACCGCCACAGAATCAATTCTACATTTCTCAATTAAAATAATTACTACAATCATGTAATATTGGACTGAAAAATATCAGGTGACTTGCACTTTTCTTTCTGAGCAAATTCCAGCAAGAATTACTGTAAACCAACTTTTATTCGCGTGCGAGAAATATTCGCGAGTTTCACGACCTATTTTTACTCGGGAATATTAATCACAGCGAACCATTTATTTTGCTATTATGTATTATTATATGTAGAGATTGTTTCCTCAGTCGCGAAAATTAATCATCATGGATTGACTTCAAACTGACGAATCGCGAATAAAAGTTGATGCGAATAATAGTTGGTTTACAGTATAAGTCTTAAAAGAGATTTTTTTTCACTTTTAAGTTACCTTATTTATTAGTAACTTGTATCAGGCCACATACAGTTAATTTTTAGATTTTTGATAAATTTGCA